AGTAGTAGTAGTAGTAGTAGTTCTGTAGCAGCAGCAGCAGCAGCAGCAGCAGCAGCAAAAGCACGTCGTCGTCGTCCTCGTATCAGGATTTGTGGCAGGATCATGGATGGAGCAGAACTATAGCAGCAGGGTATAGGGCAAAATTAGTCGAACGTCGTCGTCGTGGCGGCGCTGGTGGTGTTGATGCGTTGCACTGGCTGACTACTGTATGATGACGTTGCGGCATGCCGGCAGGTGTCCCTGCTCCGTCCTCGTCTTCCTGCGAAGTCGGCACGGCCTGTGGCACGGACGCGCAAATGTCCTGAGAGTGACTTGCCATCCTCTTCGAACACGAAGAGTAAGATGTCCCCAGTCCTTGGCTTCGGTCGCATGCTTCTTTGCACCGGGCATGCATTCTCGGGAAAAGTGTTGACGGTAAAGGTGGTCTGCACAAATGACACATGACATCTGTGCAAGTCTTCGCTGATCCATGGCAAGTGTATACATGGTGTTGCTGTCGAAATCATGGATAGTATGTAACCACCAGACCCGGAATGATGTTGTGCAATTTTCGGCTACGGGCACACCAAGCGTGTGATTAACATCTGAAAACTCGCGCTATAGCCGTATACCCCATGATGCCGTGAGCCTGTTCATTTACTTGGTAGCAAGTGTCTTTAATCTCTCGACAAGGACGGTCTGCCCCGCCAGCGCGACAACAGCACCGTCGCTCAAGGCCTCCAGGCCCTGTGGCAAAGACTGCACCTCCTCTGCCGGAGCTTCACCTTGAGCTTCGCGCTGAATTTCATCGGCTTTCTGATTCTGATCCTCCCGCAAAGCTTTCGAGGCTGGTGCATGTGCTCATGCAGCTTGCCCTATCAGGAGCGCTCAAACTGATGCAAACCTCGAAGCTACCTTTGGCTTCGCGCAGGGTCTGGGCTGCGAAGCAAGTTAAGACAGGAACGCCCACGCCCAGGAGTGGCCTAAACCCGAGTGCCTAAAGGCCTAGCTGGAACCTGAACTTTGGAGCCCACCTCCTCTGGGACCACCATGGGCAGAGCGCCCACGGGTCCACCTGAGTCATTTCGGCTTACGAGAGAAACTACAGCTCAGCAAGCTTCACAAAACACCAGTGACGAAAAGCAGCGTGGAACATACCATTGTGAGCCGGAACTACAATCCATCTCATGACTCCTGCAGTATGCCAACTTCCCGGAAGCCCGAAGTTGTCAAACAATGCTTCTGCCAACTCAGAGAACGCCGCAGGATGACGCCGGCAGGCCAGCCCAACACTCATCCGCAGGGACCTGGTGAGCTTTGTCCGTACCGGCCGAATCTGGCCGGGGAAGAATATCTGAATTCCCCAGAAATGTGCATATACAGATATATAACACGCTACGGACAACACACATAAGCATGCATATATAGGCATGGATGTGCACATGCAGGCTCAAGACGTTTCGCAGTGCGGGGACAGAGACCGTAGTGACGTTGTGCTGCTTCCAACAAGGGGGGAGGAGGAGTCGCAAGCGCCTGCTCGCCCTTCAGCACCTGGCTATTCTCCAGGACAACAGCGCCCTCGTGCAGGACGGCTCCAGGAGACCTCGGGCTTCGGCCGGCTTTCCAAGCCTTTGTCTGAAACTTATACTATAATGCCCACTGGAGCATGTTTTCTACGGACATTCTCCTGACCGGCGTGCTATGTCAGACTGGTGCGAGAAGTCACCTGAACCAACACTTAAAGCAGTTTTCGGTACCCCGGCGCAAAGTTAGGAACCGGCACATGAACACTTATATGGGAATATCAGGTCAAGCCACGCAGCTATAGGATGTATGAGTAGAGAAATGTATCGAATTCCTGCCGAAGGTAATACAGTGCTTGTGAACCTATCATGAACTATCGCAGTGCGATTCAGACAAGCGGATTATGCCGCCGCGGTGCACCATCGAGTGAGGAAGCATGGAGGTGTACGACTCAAGAACCGTTGGTGCCAGTTTGATGACCATGTTCTCGACTGTGTGGCATGTCGTATCGCACTCCCAGCCTACGCAGCACCCATCGCCCATTGTCAGCAAGTCATACTCTAAGGCCAGGCCAAACAAGCAGCAGTTCTGTCCCACTTTCGCACCCATCAGCCTGTAGTACCAGACCAGAAACTCCGTGCCTTGAAGTGCATCGACTGCATCTTCCATGACACCTGATAGTATCATCATGACGGTCCAGCTGAGGTGATAATTGCTGAAGAACGTGTAGTCACCCTCCTCGTACTTGCCGATGATGCGCCATTTCAGGATGTAGTTGATTGAGAGTACCACGACGCTGATTGAAGCATAGGCAAATGGGAACGACAGCAAAGCAAGGAATGGTCCATAAGATGCCCAGGTTTTCCAGCCAAGCAGGCAGGTGAGCAAACACTGGTAGATAGGAACAGGGCTGCAAACGATTGCAGCGCCAATTGCCCCGAAATTGAAGCCCCAGAAAAACTCATCTGAGTTAAGTCTGCGCATTGCTTCCCACTCTGTGACCACTTGCTCCTCTGTAGAGGTCTGGAATCGCAAGCGGACAGGCTTGCCACCGACCTGGCCAGTGTTGATGCTATCCGGTGGAAAGTAGGAGTCTGCCGGAGCAAGCGAAGCAGATCCCAAGACGGCGCGCTCCCCAACAAAGGTCCCGGGCATCAGGACCCCATGGTCCAGCACATTGGCGCCGCGGAGGAGCTTGACTTCTTGGCGTCCAGCTGCACCCGCACAGTGTGCCGAAACTACGGATCCGAAAACAACGTCATCTTCCACGGTGAAGCAGTCGTGCTCCGCTACATATACGGTGTCCATTTGCACGCGCCGCCCAATCTTGGATCCCAACATTCTGTACATGACGCTCAGCACTTCCGTGCCTACGAAAGGATCCATGGCGTCGTCGAAGCTCCGGGCACAAACCGCCTGTTCGTGGAGCCAAGTCCGGAAGGCATCCTTTTGCCAGGCCCATGAGCCTCACAGGTCTATGAACCGAGAAAAAACCTCTCAGCTTATACGAAGCGCGCAAGCGTTATAAACAAAACAAGAAAGCACGCCCTCCCCTGGAGCTGGTCGGAACCTCCCCTGAGACTGGGAACCTTCCTCGGGCATAGGTCCAGGAAGCAGGCGCCCAACCAGCGCACGCTTCTGAAGCACGGTCAGAAGGAAGAAAGTCAGTGCGAATCCGTGCCGGTATACCAGAGGTGATAGCAGCCAGAAGATCCAGTTCCCGCCTTTATTTATGCAGATCGTCGCTTGAATCAAGGTTGCAGTTTTCAGCTGGAGCAAGCCCCATCCAAAACAGTACTCAGTAAAACAGTGACAAACGCAATCCTTTCAAGGCGCCAGAGAACGCCCACAACATCTCGAGGGCATAGATCGTGGGGACGATCGCAGCACTGTGCAGGATGAGGAGCCAGGGCAGCCCCACAGCAAGGCGTAGATGATCCTTCCAGAATCGCATGCAGGCTTGTATTCCCTATTTTCTAGCGAGCGCAGTGAGCTCCCGACAGAACCTGGTACTTGATAAACAAAGAAAACCAAGAAGTCTGTACACACATGCGGCTCAAAACAGCACCACGTCAACTCTAATCTTTGCGGTGCCAGCATTCGGCATCCGCTGTGTGCATGATGTCTCATTGCTGTAGAGTGGCGCTGCTTCGTGTGCGAACCTCCGACGGCATTACTGAGAATCCCCCTGGAATCCCAAAAGCCTGAACGTAATAATCCCCAACCTCGGCTCGAAGATGCCCAGGCCTCCAGCCGTGCTGCTGGGCTGTTGAAAGTTACACTGGGCCAAGCTATTGTCAGCGGAAATATGCGATGGCTTGACAAAGGCGTGTGTTTCGGTTTCGGAGGTGGCACCCGTCCCTCCACCCTCGAGTGACGGAACTCAGGCAGGGGGAGGCCAGGACCTGCATGGACCTTGCATCGTCGTGGTTCTAATGCAGCCTGCGTAAGAATGAACCCGGAATCAACCCCTGAGGACAGCTGCACTCAATTCAGCCTTACCCTCTGAGCTCTTGAAGCCATCCCCTTGAGCACCGAAATAAAACTCCCTACCCTGAGCCCTTGAAGCTCTCAACGACCCTAAGCCCTTGGCCACAGTACGTCCTGCGTCGTCACATGTTCAATCTTCGAGGGTTGCAAGGGGCAGACAGCTCCCACGGAACCCATCCATCCAGAGGTCGAGGCCAGCGGAGGCACCTCGGAACCGCTAGGTACCTGAGCTTTCAAGGCGGGATTTTTTGCCCGGCCCGGCCTTCGATCTATACTGGATAGCAGAGGGACGCGTCAAAATCTGGGGGCTGGCTCATGTCTGCAACAAACTCAAACATGAAAGCTGCGTAAGAGGCTTCGGCAGGAGCATTGCAAGCGATTCATATGCTGCGACATTCCCATCTTGAAATTCTCTCGAGCGGCATCTGTGCCCATGACCAGCATTGCCCGAGGCATCACGCACGACCTGGACTGGACCTTCACAGCACCGAGGATGAGCTCGCCATCCATGAGGCCTGCTGGGAGTCGGGGCAAAGAAGATCCAAAGTCTAGGTTTGTAGTTTATGTACTAATGATGAAGATAGACAGATAGATCGAGAGATAGGTAGGTGGATAGATAGACAGACAAACAGCCGACAGACAGGCAAGCGGAAACAAAGACGTTCTGTCTCTCTCCCTCTTCTTCTCTCTCCTGCTCGCTCGCTTGCGCTCTCTACTGTAGTTTGCGGACCTCCCTGCTCACTGCTCTCCCTCTCTATGGTTGCCGACCTGCTGCACAGATTCGGGCATGGTTGACAGACACATCGCTCCCGATAGACACCAGGTCGGGCTCCTCCAGCTCTGGATCGTTCAGGTCGACCTGCCCACCACACATGTCAATCTGTGGACTCCCGCATAGGGTTTAGGATCGAGGGCGTACATTGCACTCGGAAAAGCTTAAACTGACAAAAGCCTGGCCACCGATCACCCCACGAATGATTCAGGAAAATGGCGGCTTTTAACTGCACGCCTAAGGCCTAAGAGTCTGCTATCTCCACGCTTTGAGCCACTCTCTCCCCGATGTCGGCGCCCAGGGCCCGGTAGAAGTGGACCAGAAGGCACCTAAACATGGCCCGGATTTGCTGTTCTTTTTGTTGGTGCGAAAGAGGGAGAGGGAAAGGGAGAGAGCGAGAGCCAGAGAGGGGGGGGGGGATGTAAGCACATGAAGCTGGTTACCAAACTTCCACGCGGTCAAGACTGAGAGGTGGACTGAAGCTAAGCGCAATTAAACCCACGTCGCTTTGCTTCGTCCACGACAACTCAAGGACACGAGCAGTCCGAGCCTGCCCCAAGAATGTTAAATTAGCTATGACCATATTACCGCACCTTACTCTCCATCAACCTTACGTCTCTTGCAAAGCAGTCGGGCGGCGTCCCGGAAATGAACTCAGAGATCCGGTCGCGACACTTCTCCACCAAGTGGCGCTGGAAGAGCCAAAGGAAATAGGTTTTCCTCGAAGCTGCTGAAAGTAGCTACAGGGCTACGAATCATGTCAGAGCTAGTGAAAATCATAGCTGAAATAGCACTTCCAGAGAGCTTTGCCTTCAAGGCTCCCAAACAAAGGATACCTCCCAGGTTCCAAACGCCCAACGATCAGCTGCTTCAAGGCAACGCACACGGCGGCCTCCCGATTTCGGATTTGGGCTTGAAGCGCTGACGGCTTGGCGGCTCGCTAAGGATGAACTGTAGCTCAGGCCAATTAAGACGGTACCGACAATCTGTTAGAATGACTGTAGACGGCTGCTGCGGCTGATGCCGCAGAGATGAGAAATCGAGTCTGCCTCCGTTGCAAGACGTGCAGAAGCAGTTGAGAGAAGACAGCGCGAGCAAGACATACACGTAACCTTTCGGGCCCTCTGGCTTCCTGCCACCCTCGCCACTTAAGGCCAGTCCTCCAGCACGAGAAGCACGGCCAGCAGCCCAGGAAGACAAAGGATCAAACAGCTTCGACCATAGGCCTCGATCTCGAGCCGTTGTGATAGGACATTATATATTTCATGTGTGTGTGTGTGCATGTGTGTGTATGTATATATATATATATGTATATATATATACATATAATATATATATATATGTATGTATATGTAAAGAGAGGGGCAAAGAGAGCTTCCTTACACTACATTCCATTACGTTGTCTATGTACTGTTTTGCGTTGTGCCACGTGGAGGTGTACTATGGTAGTGTAATATAAGACTGCACTGCATTAGTTATATTATTGCTGTGTTACGTACTATGCTATACGGCATTGTGTTATATTTTCTGCATGAAATTATATTGTACTATAACTGAACTATACTTTCTCAAATTACAATGTATCATATCTTATCATATAGCATAATTTTTGATTACGTTGTGTTCTCTTATCTTATGTTATACCATGTTTATTGTATGGTATTTTACTATACATCACATTACAGTACATTACATTGCCTTACACTGGATGGTACTATGCTTTATTGCATTATTGTACAAGCCTGCTTTACTATATTGGAATATGTTGTAGTCTATCATGTTATAACCGTTGCATTATATTACATCACAACACATGATTGTTACTATATTATAGCATAGTCTATAATACATGATACATCACATATTATGTTATATTGCATACAAATGAGAGTACACACGCTGGAACGTGCCTCGAACTTGCGCTCTGCTTCGCGGCAACAAGCTGTGCATCAATTTGTCGATAAATGTAATTAATGGCGCACCTACAAGAAAGTAAAGGCAAACAGGCTGCTCGCCAAAGCCGTATGATGGTGAAGCTTTCGCGAGCTTCGCGCGTGGAACCCCGATTTCGATCGTTGATCGCAGAGATCCCGAGAAAACGCCCCTGAACTGAAGTAAGCGACGGCGTGGCCTGGTAGACCATCCAGGCCAGCAGCCAACGGATCATCCAAGCGAAATTGTCACCAAGCCTGGTGTGGGTCTGCTGCATCCAAATGGGCGCCGGGGATTCTTGCGTTGACAAGTGAAGTTTGCCTGCCTTTTTTTGTGAAGTATGCAAATGGAGTTCGAGGCAATCGTCATTGCTAATGCAGTTCGGCGAGGTTGCTGGTAAAATTGATTGTAACATGCTATCTGGCACAACGGTCGCATTGCAAAACCAACCCTCTCAGCGCATTCCAAGATCAAGGCTCCTACTACTTGCAGCAACTTCGAGCACTCAGCAAGCCCTATCTCAATTCTCAGACTATCGACGCTCAATTCGATTCAACTCCCAGCCCCAGGCTCCACGAGCCAACAGCCCTTGCACCAAAATCCCAGCTGCAGGTTCCCTGCGACGGCCACAAGGAACTGAGCGCACAGGGCTGAAGGGCTCCTCAAGGAGGGAGGGATCTCTGTCTTACATGGTCGACCCCTTGTGGCGGCTGGAGCTGAAGCAGGCGATGCCCCAACAAAAATCATGGTCAGAAGACACGAACATTGCACCGAAGAAGCTTCCAGTACTTGCGAACGCACAGGGCGTTGCGAAGCAGAGCTTAGCAAGACGAAAGAATGCGTCAAGCCGAGACAGCATTGACATCTGTTAGCCCATTTCTCAGTATACTGCTATGTGACTACATACCAGATTTCAGGCAGAGGGAAGGGCTGTGGAAAGGCTGTGGACGAAAAGGGGCCGTGCCGCGGACAGCAGGCAAAAGTGAAGTGGAATCCGATGTGCAGGGTAAAGAGCTCCGACTGGAAGGCTGCACCAGAACCGAGAACTGGGAGTCCCCATGCAAGTTGACGTATCATGCCACACTCAAGAGATGCAACACCTGCGGGCGGTCGTGGGTCCGTGTCTCTCTCTGCGTGGCTGGCGTTTCTGTGTCTGCATCTGCGTGCATGGGCGGAGGCTCATAAGCATTCTTAGCATCATTAGCATTCAGGAAGGTGTGCGTGCCGCCATGCAGCAATAAGCAATCTGGAATCCCAAACAGTCCGAGTAATTCTAATCGCTCCAAGCAAAAGTCACTTCGAGTGTAGCACCGGTCCTGGCGCTTAGGGCCTGGTAGCGCTGCTTGCCGGGCACAGCCTCCTGCAGGGTTCCAGAGGTCACAGTCCAGGCAAGAACCCAAGGAGATGGCCTTGCATGAACATATGCCATCTTATTCTGTGGCACGGAGATGCTTCATCAAAGCTGCACCCCGTGCATAGCATCGCACAGCACATGTGCGACTCAGTCAAGCTGGAGGTCAACAACATCCGTTGCATACACAATGCATGCGCAATCATTGAGTTTTGCTCTGCATGGCATTTGTGGCAAAAACATGTTTTTATCATGAACAAAGAATCAATTATAGCAATAAACAAACTAAGTAAGAGGTATGTGTATGCACAGGTATATATAGATAGGCAGGCAAACAGACGGACAGTTAGTTAGTTATTCAGTCAGTCAGTCAGTTAGTTGGCTAGTCAGTTAGGTAGTTGGTTAGGTTGAGTTAAGTCAGGCTAGACTTTTCTAGGCTTGGTTAAGTTGAGAAAAACCATTTTAGAAAGTTCGTTGGTAACTTGGTTAGTCGCTTGGCTGCTAGCTTGGTTGCTTGGCTGGTTGGTTGGTTGGCAAGTTAGTTAGTCGGCTAGTCGGTTGGTGCATTAGTTAGTTAAACAGTCTTTAGGCCCCTGCATCAGTTTAGCTCTATCTATGTATGTGAGTATGTAAGTAAGTAAGTATGTATGTAGGTATGTATGTATGTATGTATGTATGTTTGTTTGTATGTGTGTGTATATATATATGTATGTATATGTATATGTATATGTATATGTATATGTATATGTATATGTATATGTATATGTATATGTATGCATGTATGCATGTATGCATGTGCATGTGCACGTGCACGTGCACGTATGTATGTATGTATGTATGTATGTATGTATGTATGTGTATGAAAGAATACAAACGTAAAAATAAGCTTGAATTTAAACAACAAAACAATAATAGCTTATGTATATATATATATCGATTTGTGTATATACACACATATGTATATATATATGTATATATTAACTAACTCGAACTATGCGCATCACTGTCGGGTTGGCAGCACAAGATGCCACTGCATTTTCTTACAAGTACATTGTGCCTGTGTGTACGTATGTGTATATGTATATAAACAAATAAATAAACAAATATATATATATACATACACACATATACATGACTATCTGATGTGTGTTTGTATACAGACACATGCACACCTTGCGTTTTCAAGAAGCTTGCTGTACTAGAACTGCACTGGCCTGACGCTCGTTTGCACAGTTTACCTAGCTTTTGGCTCTAGTGCACTGGCCAATGTTGTTATGCCGAGGAAATGCAAATACCTGGATGCAGGTGCACGTGGTCCAGCTCTATAACGATGAAAAACACGTCAGTATAAATGCAAAGTTCATCTAGCTTGAACTTTGGGTTAATAACACTTGAACGCACCACAAACTGGAAATGTGTCGAACTTACTCGTAATGCAGAGACATCCATAGACTGCCTCTTGGCACGCAAGACTATTCTCCACGTATCTAATGGAGGGCAGATGCATGCGGGCATGCACACATGAATATACTGATTCATACATGCAAGAACCTACATATTCTCATGTTAACACGGGCTCCATGTCACCATGTCATGAAAGGACATGGGGGTTTGCAGAAACGAAGCCGCCCCCTCCGCAAGAAGAAAGCAAACCAGGCTCCACAACAGAGACCGCTACTGTAGCGATCTGAATATGGTCTGAATCCATCATAGCGATTCGGTGCCTGGCTCGTCTCGGCAGGCTTGGGCTCGTCCCCTGAAACGGTAGCTCCGAGCTTCGATGCCAAAAGGGCCAGCTTGGCAATCGTGCTGTTGGTGTACCTTGTGACGAATCTCACGGTCTTTGATATAGATACAGATATGCGTGGCAATCACCAAATACCTTCTTTCCGTGTCTAAGCTGAATTATGCTGCATATGCAGCCGCCACCTACATCGCAAGTAAGAGTTCTTCATTCGGCAAAAAAAGTTGGCGCTCGTTGCTGTCTCTTTGCATGGCCGTCCCTGGCAGCTGCACGCCCAGATCTTTGCGCAACAGCGAGGTTGCTTTCCCGGCCAGCAGGGAATTGCCACCCACAAGGGGCCAATCTGCTTCCACGCTGAGACCTGGGCTTCTTCCGGCAAACTCGCTTGAAGCATTTATTGCTCAAGAGGAGGACTCCCGTGCAAGCCAAAGTGGAGACAAGAAGCTCTCAGGTGCACGGTCCAACACCTTGGCCCAAATCTCGCGGATGCGCTCTTCCAGGGAGTCTCGCGGCTCCACCACAAGCACAGCCTCCTCGCTCTCCCCTTGTGGCTCCGGTGGTGCCGGCAGTGCCTTGCGGTCAATTTTGCCACTGGCTGTCCGCGGCATGGCTTCCAAGAAGACCACCTCTCCAACTTCAAACGATTCATGATGTCATGTGTAGGTGACATGCAGGGAATTGGAGCTCAGATCCTGGACAGCTGTGCCTGTGCTGGCACCATGTAGGCGGGGAGACGGCTGGTGCAAGCAGCGCGCAGAGTCGCTTGATCGCCTCCAGGCATGATCACATAGGCCACCAGGCGCTGCTGTGTCCCCTGCCTGGGCATCAAGGGAGTTTTAGCTAAGAAGCGATTGTTTGCTACTTTCTCTCTGACGCGGACTCAGTCACCTGTCAGGAGCGATGCAAGACAGTGCATGTATCTACAGTGAAAGGAAATACGAGAAGTTGGACCTTACCGAAAATACTACAAGGGCTTCACATGCATCGCCCATTCATCTGGAATTTCTGCTATGCCGAGCTGAGGTAGCCGTTGCAAGTCGCGAATCGTTTGTGTGGCACAATCGTCCGCATGAGCATGCCATGCAGTATATATATATATATACATACATAAATACATACCTACAACTATTTATTTAGCAGCTGCTGAATCGTCAGCTATCGGCAAAAAATTATCTGCCAGCTACGGATCTATCTAAGGCTGTTTGCATACACATCTAACCTTACGCCGCGTTGCACTGCCTTGCAAGCTCTGGGATATGTGGAAGGTGTTTTTCTGAGCTTCCTATGTGAGTTTTCTGTGGGGGATTGTGTGTGTGCGGCACCTGTGAGCGAGGATAGCTCTGAGCGTACCTGTGAGAATTCTGTGAGCGGGGCCTGACAGTGAGGCCGGGGCGTCCCCAGCTCTCAGCCCCGCTCACACAAGTCTCACAGCCCCGCTCACAGAGGCCCGGGACTCTATATATTCTATTGGTTCTATTGTGGATCACAAGGAAATGGTGGTCTTGGGCCTGTGAGCGCCTCCAATGCCTCCACATATTCCGTCAAAATCATCTCACATCAAAGCTCACAAAAAAATCACAATACTAGGTAACTGACAGAACTAATTGATTTACCCTGTTTCAGAGGTTCCAAGACCTGCCACTCATAAATTTAATCAACCTCACATACGATACGATGATAATCTGATATGGCATCCTAGCCGTGGTTTTGGCATAGTCACCATATCTGTCAGCCTGCTTTTCCTCACCATCCATTCCCATACAGTCTTCTCGGATGCAAACATAAAACACAAGCATCAAAGGTCATGGGTCGAAACTGATAAATGGCAATCGCCCGACCTCTTCACGATCACGAACACAAAGTGATAGCATAAAATAATCGCTTCCCATTAACATTGAACCACCCCTAATATAAAAAACTGCCGGCCCCCGGGATTTTGCGGTTTCGTGCGCACAATTGAAAGTTCTTTGAAAACATTAGCGGGGGCCTATGGATTGTATGAGTTTTAATAGAACCAAGACTACAGTAGTACCAAGCCAAAAGGACCAGGGCTTTAGGAGTTTACGGACTAAGGCTTTGGGGCTTAGGAGGAATCGGTCGTTGTGTCTGACTGTTTGGTTTCGGGCTTAAGGCTTTATGGCTCAGGGTTGAATTAAGGCTTACGGCTCTGATTAAGGCTCTTAAGGCTCAGGGGCTGCAGTCTGATTACAGTAATCTCAGTCATACCCCTATGCGCCGGAAACTCCCTAATAGAAAACCTTAACCCCCGGATTTGAGTTTTTATATTGGGGACGCGGGGGGGGTGGGGGGTGGTTTAATACTAGGGGGAAGGGATTAGAAAATTGAAATTTGTTGGAATATAAAGAAAAACAGATGGGATGGACAAGTTGATCAGAGATAGGACACAAACGGATGAGGACTGTCCAGAGCTCGCATTGCCCACAATGGGCAGAAGAAGATATTGTGATCATGGGCGTTCATCTGTTTGGCGTTCATCTTTTTGCAACTTTTCAATTGCACACATGGGCGACCTGTCTTCAACAGGTTTCAGCATTCGTCGATGTGCCCGAAGAATTCTAAGTTGAAAATTGCACAACGCTGCAGCTTCTGCGGTGGCCGAACAGTGCCTTCAGTTGTGGATCTCCGAGGGAGCGTGTTTAGTATAGTCTTCGGGCATGCACCGTGAGATGTTTGCTCTTGCTTACACTTACCCGTAGCCAGGGCCACATACATGCGCACACACCAATATAATTATTTGTTACGTATTTGTTTACACACTCACAGACACGGCATTTGCATGCACGAGGGAATGGCCATGAAAAGAAGGGCGTCTGCATTCACAGATGCACCCACATGTTTCAAGGTTAGAGCTAGACAAGCTATCAGCTTATCCTTATCATGCCTGGACGGAGGTTTCGAGCCCAGGCGCCCGACCACGATGCACACGGAATTCTTGGCGCCTGCCGCCCGCAACGCCTCCTGATGCCATGCCACACACATATACTCTGACGCTGCCACTGACGCTGACACTGTTTCTCTCACTCTCTCGCTCCCTCCCTGTCTCTCCCTGTCGCTCCCTCTCCTTCTCTCTCGCTCGCGCTAATGGATACCAATCTCAACGACTTTTGTACAGAGACTTCGCATGACTTCCTCGATCTCCCCCAGCTCGATGCGGAAGCCCCGCAGCTTCACCTGGAAGTCGGCCCGGCCAAGGAAGTCCAGAATTCCAGACTCCCTCCACCTCCAATCGTGTTAGTTTGGCATGGCCCCTTACTTCCATGCCGGGGTTCGATTCCACATGTAGTCTCTTCTAGTCTCCTCTATTTAAGCGCAGAGAGCCCTGCTCCTCGGAAACTTCGGACTCCCGTAGTTTACTTCTTCCTTCTCGGCCTGGCCTGGCTAGGTCGCCCGAAGCATAAAGCTTCGTGCCATCGGCACCCAGAAAACGATCGAGGACGAACTTCTCCTCTGTGAGCTGCGGCATGCCCAGGTAGCCTCGTGCAATGAAGTCACCTCCGAAGTAGATCTCCCCGGGTTCCCCGACACCAGCCAAACCGCCAGAGCTGCAAATTAGGATTCTGGAGCCCTCCATGGGCTCTCCGATCGGCATGCTTTGCCTACCGGGAGATGGCAGTGGCAACGCAGAAACACACGGCTTTGCTGCAAACCCTTCCAGTTTGCCAGCAAAGGTGCAAAATGCGGCCCATGGGAAGGCGCCAAACGGTCATTTCGCCTCGCCAGAGCCAGAAGCTTAGCAAACGCAGCTTTGCAACAAAATTTGCAACGGCAGAGCAAACAAATGACCCCATGCAGGAAGCAAACTCTTGCCACAGTGCCCTCGGTAGGGCCGTAGAGGTTGTCCAGTGTGGCATGCGGCAGGAAGTCGAAGAATTGCTGCGCGAGGCTCGGCGGCAAAGCCTTGACAAGCCACTTCTGATCCGAACTCTAACGGCCACTGATTGCACTGATTGGTCACAGATGTACAGCTACTCCAGACCCTCCCATCCCCCCCTTCGTCCTGTTACACCTGTCAAAATTGTCAAAGACCTGTAGTCAAAGGCCTCGCCACAGGTGATGGCTGCCTTCAGGTCCGGCCAAAGCTTTACCTGACAGCAGTGGCAAAGTGAGATGCAGCCCCCTCGGAAGCCACGGTCGGGGCCACAGCCTGCTGATCTTCGAACTCAAGCTCTGCGTACTCCAGTAATGCCCTGAGGACCGAGGGCACGAAGACCTGCGACTCGCAGCAAATCCAGTTAACCGGGTCCACGGTTCGGATCGACTTAGTTTGGGCTTGGAGCACCAACAGCAGCTCTAGCAAAGGCTAAAACTCAAAGCATATGGCGGCCAAGTGCCTCTATCAGGCAAGGTCGTTTGTTCATGCAGTTTACCTATTCAGACTGGGTCGGATGGCATGGGCATGACGGCGATCTTTCCACTGCTATCGGTCTGGGGATCATCGCTAGGCTTGGCCACGAGGCTTGCGCAACCCCGAAACGCAAGCTATCTTGCAAAGCCTGCACTTGAACCTACCGTGCAGGCCTGGGTTCGCACGCGATATTGCTCAGAGAGCAGCCACAAGTACCTGGAAGGCGAGAGTCTACGAGGCCAGCTGTGCCCCATAGCCTGCAAACACCTTCAGCCTCAAAGCGGCACCACGCGAAGACTGTTGGTCTTAAAGCTGTTTGGCATCAGCTTCGTCTCATGAGGGAGTGGCTGGCATTTATCTTCTCATGTCGCCTGGTGCAAACAGTGTGCCAAGCTGAAGCAAGCTTGAAAGGCAGCAAGCTCGGAACAGGGTGCGAGTGAACGGAGCTAGTGTTCGCCTCAAACTGTGCCGTTCTGGGACCAGACCCAAACAGACCCTGACATAAAGCCAAACAGCACAGCCGGATCCCAATTATAAGGGTCCCTCAGTAACAATAAGGTAGCCGAGGATCTCCATGTCTTTTTCCCCGTCCGGACGGCAGAGGACAAGCGTACCACCCACGGAGAGTGGCCAGAAGATCTCCCACTCGGACAAGCCGAAGGTGTAGCCTGAACAACTCTCTAGAGTCTAGACCCTCAGGCAGTTCCGTCAGCACTTCTAGATTAGAAAGGCTCTTGCTCCCTAAGGCCCTAAGACCCTGACATTCTTGCCTAGATTCATGTCTATAACAGGAAAGCTGTGGCACTCCGAGCTGCTGTGCTTCAGGATTCCACACTCGCCCGGACGCATTTGCCAGCGGTCCTGAAACCAAAGAATGCGGTGCACCAGTCCACGGTGCTCCACCACCACACCCTTGGGCTTGCCTGAAGATCCCGAGGTGAAAAAGCAGTACACCGCATTGGTGCTCTTGGGTTCGGACGCGACTCGCATAGGTGCGCTGGGAGATTTCAATTGTCTCCGCTTGATGTCCAAGATCTGGCAGGTGCTCAACTCTTTTACGAGAGACTGTAGGCGAACTGCAAAGCCTGGGCCGGCGCAAGCAGCACGGGGAGCACATTGCGAGATCACCTCCATGACACGGTCGTCTGGCCACTTCGTGTCCAAGGGAACATACCCACCGCCAGCAAAGAGGATGCCAAAGATCGCAATGATCATCTCCGTGCAGCGATGGGACATTAGTGGCACCAAGCTGTCCACAGTAACGTCGGCCGACAGAAGCTCTGAAGCTACCTGCCCTGCTTCTGCAGCTAGCTGGGCATAAGTCAAAGACTCGGAGTCTTCGATAATTGCCGTTCGACTGGGCACAGCAGAAGCCTGTTCTTGGAAGAAATGGTGGATGCATTTGCCAGAATCAAGGTATCTCTCTGTTCTTTGGTCACTCCAATCCAACAACATCCACTGCTCCATTTCATTGCAGACCTCCAACAGCCCCGCTGGCAAAGTGAGGTCCGCGGAGAGCAGCGCTTCCAAATGGTCCAGGGCTCGCGCGGCACTTGCCGTGCTGAGCAAGCCTTGCTCAAAGAGAAGAGTACCTAGGTTCTTCTGCAATTATATGTAATTTAAACTACCATAACAGACAAACTAGATAAATTAGATAAACCATATTATTGCTATAGCTATAGATCCCCATCAGGGTAACTTAAATTAAATTCTGAACAAGAACCCAGGTGCAGGCAAGGCCTTCGGCTCGAAGCTCGCACTGCAGCTGCAGCATCAGCCGGCCTTGGCCACAAGGTGCTGTCCAGTCAAGATCAGTCGCTGGTCCGAAGAGAAAGCCCACACGGCACTTCAGAATCTCTGCAGGAACATGTGCCCAACAGGACCTGGCATCTGCCAAACGATTGCGGTATGCATCTGCGGCTTGCTGCAGTGACAACTGCTCTAAGCTTGCCAGCCGCAAAGCCACAGGACTATCCTGGGAGACCAGAAGCAGCACCTCCTCCGCGCGAGAATACCGACAGAGTAAAAGGACCCATGCGGCGAGCACAACTTCTGGGACCACCTGTCCGGAAAGAATCCGATGTGCTCTGCCCACTTCGTGCGTCAAGTACGCATCCAAGGGGTGCAGCGGAGGGAAGTTGAGTTCAAAGATAGGTGCGTTCTGAAGTTCCTTTGCCCAAAAGGCTTCCGGCTCCAAGGCTTCATTGAGTCCACCAGCGTCTTCAAAGACGGTCGTCTCTGCGGGCACCGGCACCTCTACTTTTGGCAAAGCCTCCGGCTCGGTCTCAGCCTCGGCCTTTGGAAGCCGATTGCGGAGGCCTTCCGGGGCCTCGGGGGACTGCGGGGCCTCGGACCGCCGAATCTCCTCGGATCCGGAGGTCAGCCACTCGCAGAGCAACGATCTGCGGGACACGCTGGCGCCAATGCTGCCATCTGCTTCAATGGTCAGGAACATCCCCACGGCCTGTCCGAACAGGACGACCTCCTGGTCTTCCAATGCGCTGCCCCTTGAAACTGAAAACCTTGGCTGCTTCGGCACCAGGGGCCCAGGAATTACTAGATTCAAAACGGCCGGGCCTGAGTGCAACTATGATCAGCAAGCAGTCCCCTTCTAGCAAACTACATCCAACTGAAAGGGCACAAGCAATCTTTCGACTGTATTACGTCGCCGACCAGCTCCTTTATGAAAAGAAGGCCTGACCCCAGCACAGGAAGGCTCGTTTAGACACAATATGACACAATCATCCTCGCGGCTACACCTCAAAGCCGCAAGCTTTGCCTACCAACTTCACGTCGGCTATAGGATATCTCACGGATCGAGGAGCAATGTGCGGCTTCCGCCTCGCTTACCCTGGAGGTCGCCGCCTCTCCTCTGGAGCCGCAGGTATCCGGACTCGGACTGAAAGCACAGGATGTCCTGCTGCATCCAAATCGCTTCTGGGGCGGCATGTAAGTGCGATCAATTTTAGGGGCAGTGAGTTATCATGTTCTCCAGGCAAAGGTGTACGGAGTACGTATGGAGCAACTGAATGCAGCAGAGTGATCAGCAGGAGTCAAATTTGAATATAGTGGCTGCACACCCTCATCCAAGGCCATCTACTCGTTGAGGGAATACACCTCAGAACGTGGATGTTTGCCACCGTCACTGACCAGCAGCATCCCAGAAAATTCAACATTTCCTGTGTAGCGTACAGCCATCTGTGCTCCTGCTTCTTCACTGGCCGTTGCGGCCCAGACCCATTCTACAAGACTTTGCACTGTTTCCGCATGGGTCTTTCCGAAAGACTGCGAAAGTGTGCGTGTTTGGCATGCTGATATGCGTCGCGAACTCTGCTCCTCCTGCTTCCGGTCGTAGTGTGCTGAGACATCTGACATCAGCATAAACGTGCTGGTTGAGTGAAAACATGCCTTCCGCCATGCATGCAGCAGGTCGCATGTGCGAAACAGCTAGGGCGTGAGCTAGGCTACCGTAGGTAAGTGGTGGTCGCATTTGCGCTTGCGGTCGGTGTTGGTGCTTTCACCGGCGTTGCTGTTGTTGGTGTTGTTGCTGTTGCTTGCTTGTGTTGGTGCGGTTGGCTTTCTTGTTCCTGTCCTTGTACGTATTTGTGAGTTTTGTTCCTTTATCGTACTCCATGCTCTCGTTGTTCGAAGGTGATTTTGAGCTTCTCCTTATCTCTCAGCACTACCCGTGATATTGCTACTATCAATGATATTGTTCATATTGTTATGTTGATTTTAGTCGCATTGTTGTTGTTGTTGGCGGCGGCGGCGCGGGGGCGGGGGCGGGGGCGGGGGCGGGGGCGGGGGCGGTGGCGGTGGCGGTGGCGGTGGTGGTGACGGTGGTGGTGGTGGTGCGGGTGTCGTCGTTGTGGCCGTTGTCGTGGTTGCGGTGCTGGTTGTGGATGTGGTTGGGGTTATGGTTGTAGTGGTGGTTGTTATTGGTGGTGGCGGCGGTAGCTGTTGTTGATGATGTCCCCTAGCTCTTGAATTCTTGTTCTGTTGTTATTCTCAAGTCGTGGTCGTTGCAATGGCAGCAGCGTGCAATCGCTCTGGGTCCTGTGCGAGGCTCGAGACGGTCAGCGGGCCGATGTGAATGTCGGGATCATCAAATCGCCGCAGGCGCACGACATCGCCAGGCATGAGGGAGCAGGTCTGATTCCAGGTCCACGCAGCTTGACCTTTGCCCTTCCCCTTCCCCCAGCCCTTACCTTTGAGTCCGGCTCCCTTCTTCCAGGCATTTGCGGCCTTGCCCCAGCCTTTCCAGGCCTCACGGGACCATCTGCCCTTGGTGCCTTTGCCCTTTGCACCTTTGGCCTGGCTACCTTTGCCTTTGCCTGACCATGGGTACTCGACTGTCGCCGTCATCTTGGCCTCGCTGCAAAGGCCGAGCCCACAGCTGCGGAGGGTGAGGCCCTTGACAAGAAAGCAGCTCGTAAGATACACCAAGACATGCCATCCGATATTGAGATGTGTACGTGCCCCACAGAACAAAACTCTCAGCACTGCTGTGTACCTGCGCGGTGCCTCCAGCCATGACCTGGCTAAATCGAGACTGTTTTCACAGCTAGCAGACTACAAGCGCTGTTGCTGGTGCGTTAAGTGTGCCGGCCACACACATCCGAAGGAACATGCATTCCGCACGGATACCTGCGACCAGGTCAATCCTTCACATCTTCCAAAGTGGCCGCCCGGAACACATCTGTCAAGGCAACACCCTGCATGATAGGCCACAATACCGAAAACGCAGGCCGTCAAGGCAGCCTGCGTTAGTTGAAGCCTTTCTGCTGGGAAGTGCTCCGCGGCTGCTGAGAACTCGGGCATGACTTTCAACTAAAGAAATGTATCACGTAGGGCTAGATCGGCCACACAATCAGAATGGCCCAGGAACCTCCAGAGGTTGTTGACATGATTATGCTGAAAGTCTGAAAGTTTGGGGATGCCGGCCAGTTCCAGCAACTGGTCCGAAGGTGACGTGTCGAGGAGGTCGTCGTGGTTGAGCACCACCCCTGGAGCGGTTCATACTGAAAAGGAGTCGCATGCGATGCAAGGATGTCTCCGTCATAAGGAGACACGGCTGCGGAAGGACGCCTGTTCTTGCAGCTCAGCCGACTCTAGCGAGAACGGATTCCCGGCAACAGTACGAGGTCTGACAAGCCGGCCCTGCCAGAACAGAACAGTGAATTTGCGCCGCTCTGTTGCAGTTTGGGCCCCGGGCTGCCAGAGCCATAGGAATTGATGTTCAGCCTCGGGCTTCCGCTTAGCAGCGGTCAGCACCTACGCGAAAATTCGAACCGGACAACGCCCCCCGGANNTTCCCCCCCCCCCCCCCCCGGAAACTCGAAGAATGCATCTCCACATTATGACAAAGCGTGGAGGCTTGTCACGGGTGCACGGGCCAAGCCTAAAATTAACCCTATAACCTTGCCCATGAATCTTCAGCTAGGGCAGCTAGGACTTTCTGCTTGCCTGTAGCCATGCGAAAGGACCGATAGATGTACAGATTTGATGCCAGAGCTGACCGTCCGCTGAACGAAGCACGGGTTGACATTGCAGTGTCTTAGTACTTCAACAGAGTGTGTTCCGTGTCATGGAATATCTTCATGTCCAACCTCTGGTCAGCTGTCGAGCGGCAAGGTGATCTGACGAGTTCTTTCCACCTTCGACAAGGCTTGAGGCCGGGGAAATTGAGCGACTTTCGTGGCATCAGCTTCTTTGTGTCACTTCTGTCGGCATGCCACATTGCCTCGTGAGAAACCCAGGGTGTCGTTGCGGCAGGCGACGTGCTGGTTCGCAACTGCACCCTGCAAATGTCCGTCATTGCACACGAACGAACCCCTTTAAGAAGAAGTGCATTTCTCGACACATCAAGAATCATGAGACTGCATTATCTTGAAAATTTCACAGCCCAAACTGCCACAGGCTTGCATCGTGGCACGTGATGCATTGATCATGTGGATTGAGATGTCGTCAGATTTAACAGGACAAGTGGAGGTTTGGTGCAGCAGCCTTTACATTTCCACTGCAGGTGCCTTGCAAGCATGCTGCACCATCTGTGGGCGTCAAGTCGTGCGACATAGGCATGCGCAGCTTGCTGCGAGCTCGGAAGAACTCTTGACAGGTCGAGCTGACAGCTGCCCGGTGAAGCCGAGAACACGACACTACAGATGCTTCACTTACTGCAGTGATACCGTAGAGCATCCAGGGGGAGGTGGGCCACTACACATGCCACAACGCCGACCTCGGGAAATCCGCACACTCCTATTGCCCGCAACACTCCCCAGAACCAAGCCAACCGAAGTGACAAGATCCTGCGATGATTCTTCTTTGGCAGGGGCCCCTGCTTGCCGTCTTGCAAGCTGAGCCTGAGTCTGCGCAAAATTAAACAAATCTATTTGCTGGCAGGCCATGAGCATGTAGGCTGCTCCGGGCCAACCCCTTTGAAAATCCTATCGGCTGTCCAAAGTCCACAGCTGAAAGTCAGCAAACTGCCAAGAGGAAGCTCAGTAAGCTGACGGGCCGAATGTAGACCCTCAGCGACATTATGGGGTCATGGCGTTGGGGAGCAGCAGCACTGCAACCGGTGCGCCTGCAGGAAACAGCACAAGCGTGGCAGGCAACCTCATCCAACAACCGACACTCAGTTCTGTTTACATGTACGAGCATGAAAACACATACAATCACATGCGATCACACGTGCAGACAAACATGGGCCTGCTTCAAGTTGCTCACATGCACGGGCAACTCTATATCAAAACTGTTTCTGCTACTGGCCACGCTGGATAACGTGACCGAAGTCTAAACAAGTAATTAAATACCCCGCGCATATCTATGTCCATGCGGAAGTACGAACAACAGTCTGTGCATCTGCTCGCGGCTGCGCGCACAGAAACACAAAAGGTTCCGATGCAAGCATTTCCCAGCCTCCTGGAACAAGCCTGTTCGAACAACATGGGCTACATATGTATCCAACCCAACCTGGGACAGTGCCAGGGTTGACTTACATAAATAGGGGTGCAGAGTCATACATATGTATATGTAGAAATATATATATATATATGGGTACCCCCCTATATGGGGTCCCCTTGGTTTCTTTACACCTGGGCCTAAACCGTTAAACCATTACGCGGTTTGGCCGGGAGTTATCTTACATCATCTATGCTTGTATAAATAC